GCGATTTTTTTCTTTTTTTTTCTTTTCTACATACTGTTAACCTATTGAAGGGAAAGCAGTGGGAGCAAAAAGAAAAGCACAAATAACAGCCACAACAGAAGTAACAATAAAATTTGGTTGGAGCAGCGTTGCTAAACAAGTACAAATTAAGGAGAACGAAACTTCATGCATGAATAAAGTGGTAGTGAACGCATTATTAATTTTATACAATCGTCAAAAGGGTAAAAAAAGTTGATACATTAGTAACAATAGATGTAAACACAAATATTAGCATACAACCCAATAAAAAGTGACAATCGTAGATATAAAATGAAAATACAGTGCATATTATGTTGTCATGCGTATTAATAAATGCTATGTGCATTTTGCAACATTTCTATGAAGTCATCAACTGTGTGCTGTTCAGCTATAAGTTGCTCGAGAGCAGCTCATTGTTCAATGCATCTAGGAAAAAATAACAATAGAATGTATTGTTGTTACACGAGTATATTTGGACAGTGAGATCATGTGAATCGAAGTGGAGATAACAAGCCTGTGCAAAGTATTATCTTATGTTAAAGGGAGACTGACGACTTTATAAAATTCAACTGAACTTCGTGGCTAACCCACATTACTGTTGACGACGCCTTAATTTTCCCGCGGATGTTGCAGCGAGAGCTTTAGAATACGCGAAAGAAAATCTTATCTTTGTATTCCCATGTGAGCCCCCTGAAAGTCTGTGAAACCTACGTCATCTTCACGACCTTTGGGAGAAGCCATGCTGTACACTGACGCATGGTTCTTCCCGCTCACTAACCGGAAGTGCAAGAACATTATTTATATGAGAAAGGTTTAGGTTAGTGTAGTGTTTTCAGTTTCGGTTTTCATTTAGTTTATGTTGTTTTTACTTGCCACCAGGTACCTTCTTTATATATATACATACCTTTCAATAAAACTTGAGTCCTGGTTTGTGATCGTCGACGACAGTGGTCGCTTCGTCGTTCTTCCGCGGCTTCCGCCACGATACAACAATGGCGACGAGGGTGCGTCTTTTTCGGCGGGCATAACCACGCCTGCACCTTTTCGACGCCATGAGCTGTATTGGGCTTGCTCCGCCGCCCCCGTTCCTGCCTGGACCCGGCCGCCCTACCATTCCGTGAACGAAATGGCACCAAATCTTCGAAAACTACCTACTGGCATCCGGAGTGTCCGACTTTCCACCCGAACGTCGCAAGGCCCTGCTGTTACACAGCCTCGGCGTTGAGGGTCAACGTGTCTTCGCCAGTCTACCGCTTCCAGCGGATGCTTCTCAGATCGGTGAGTGAACGGCCGACGACAAACTTACTGAAGCTAGCAAGGCCGCCACCGTTCAACCTTCTGTTTACGACGAAGCTGTAGCGACTTCAACGCAACATTTCACAAGCTCAAGCAATGTTGTCGTATAAAGGCACCGCTTTCGCCATCGCATTCAGCACCCGGGGGAGTCTGCCCAGGAGTACGTTGCCGCACTACGTGCGCTCACCACTGCATGTTCCTTTGCTTCCCCTGAAGACTCGCTTCGTGACCAATTCGTGAAAGGGGTCTCGTCTCAGCACTTTCGCGAACGTCTTCTTGAGGGTTCCACCCTTTCGTTCTTCCGAGCAATAAAATTAGCGTAACAAATCGAACAGGCTAGTGAGGACCTTCGAGAAATTGCTTCAAGCACCGTGCAGCGTATATCAAGAAGCTCTCGCTCCACGCCGCACGACTGCAGTCGAAATGAAAACTGCCACCGTCCTTCGCGTAGCGACACGCCTCTGCCTGCACCTCGTACCGAAACGCGCCCGCATCCCGACACCCACCAACCTGCTTCAAGTGCGCGCCCACCTACTTCATCCTCTTACTGCTACCGTTGTGGTTTCCGCCAGCACCTTGCCACGTCATCCCGCTGCCCAGCGAAAGGCCAGCGTTGCTATAATTGTGGGCTCATTGGGCACTTTAGTTCAGTATGCAGAAAGAAGCAACAGGGCGTTCGTGTTCACGAGCTTAGCAACCAGAATTTGCCCGACAAAGCTATGAGCATTCTGTCAGTGACCGTATTCAGCCGCGCCGAAATTCATGTCCAGGTAACAGTTGGGCATGCGCTGTTACCATTTCTTAT